TCTCTGTCTCTCATGAATAAATAAATAAAATCTTTAAAAAAAAAAAAAAAAGAAAAGAAAAGCAGGGCAAATGGCCACCCTGGGAGATCTTAAAGAGTATCTACCCTGTCTGTTCTGGTAACACCACCAGCAACCGGCCTGACCCATGAGAAGCTTCTGATACTTTATGTTGCACAGACCCAGAAACAGGTCTTGGATTATGACTTCTTCGTGGCAGGGATAGAACAACTTTCCCCAAATTCAGGCAATAGTAGTGCCCTGGGAAGGAATTTCTAAGGGTTAGGTTGTAATAGAATGGGGCATCATGTAAAAAACACTAAGACAGTTTTGGAAATCATTAGAGCATTTGTTCAAATGGAGCCTCTTCATGCTCCAGTTCCCCTTAACTTTTATAAAGAACACCAAATCTGGCAAGCACACTATGATGAATGGTGACCCAAATGTGCAATTAATACATTCACACTCCCATGTCAGATAGCAGGGCCTCACTGACAGTCTTTTATTCTGTTTAATGAGCACTGCACTACTAGGAGCATCGGGCCTGGTGAGCTTTTCCTAAACCTAAGGATTTGTTAGAAAGACTCTGGGGTGGGCTTCCTGGTGGGCTGCATCTCTAAACTGTGTCTCCACTGCCCCAAAATAGCCAAGAGCAATGTTAATTATTCAGTCTAGCCAATTACTCAGTGCCAGATAGGAAGACATCTTCCTCAATGCCTGATATATTCTAGGTGTCCAATAAATATTTGTTGAATAAATGAGCAAATGGATAGACAAATGAATGTAACATCTCCTAAATTCCTCCTTCAACAGAGAATGAAGCATTTTACTGGAGGCAAACTCAAGAAATGAACACATTCAAGCCAGTTCTCTGGGCTCTTAACACAGAAGTCACCAGGCTCGTGCTGGGCCTTAATGAGACATGAGGCAATCAAAATCAGAATCACAGGGCCTTTCCAGGGTCTGCCATATTTTCATCTGTAAACCACAGGCCATGTTTTACAAAAATACTGCTGAAACTGTAAGCATATGGAAGCTATCTGCTAAGATTGAGCTGGCTTTGGTCCTTGTAGACCAAAAGGTTTGTAGGAGGTCACATCACTGGGTCTTGACCACCTGTCTGCAACTCTCAAGCTAAGTTGAACTCAAGGACCTTTCCAATGAGATTCTCTGCCTAGAACAGAAGGTTATCAAGATCCATAGTTCACTTAGCACCTCTATCATCTGACTCTAAACCAAGACATTTGGAATTTATTTATCCTCAGATAAACATTCTTCTCGAGCTTCTTTATTTTTTTGTTTCATCATTTCAATGAGATTACCTCCCAAGACAAGAAATATGGCCACTGGTTCTTTCTCGTCCTACTTGCCCAGAAGAGTCCTGACTGCATATAGTTGATCCATAAATACTCTTTTTAAAACTTAAAGAAAAAATTACAAAAGCAGTCTATTCCTATTAAGTAAATTTGGATAAAAGAAAAGGAAAAATCTTCTCCTTAAAATTTACTACTTTAAGACAGCCATTTGGGTAGGAATACACCCCCAGAACTTCTCCAGCTTTTCAGCTGGATTAACACCTCCCCTGAAAAGAAGAGGAAAGTTAATCAGGAGGGTTCACTTCCTCTCTGAGGCTAGACCCAACCTTACAGGCATACCTAAGGGGCAGGGACACAAGATTCAGTAGTAACTTGTCCGGATGGCTACCGTTCCCGGCTATAAAACAATGTGAGCTTCTACCTTTTTGAGTTAAAGTTCTTTCCAGGAAGTGATACTAACTTGTAAAACAGGTGAGACCATGTGGATTCGCAACAACATAATTTATTGCATCCATGCGCTCGGCAAGGTTCAGTGGGGCAAGAAAGGGGTAGTACCCAGATACTCTCTAGTATGAGGCCCCACGCTAGCTCAGTCCCACATCAGCCCCTTCATCTAAAACACGAAGTCTTCTCAGAGTCCCCCTCTGACCTTCCGCACTAAGATAAGCTATTGTGACCACATGTTGCTCTGTGTCTACTTCTCTTTTATTTGCATGTGGTTTTTCTCATTATCATGTCATTAGAACGGACATTCTGGGTATGGGTATGGAACTGGGTAGGGACCATGTACCGTTTAGTCTCATGGGGACTCTCCTCTTTTTGGTTAAACTCCATCTGCATTCCTCACTCATATACCAGGGAAGAAGAAATACTCTATAGTTTTCTTCTCCTTGTTGTGAGTGTCCCCCCAGAGATTTAGCGACTTGCCTATATTTGACATAATGTATTGGCTTCACACACACCATTTCAACTAATCAACCCTGAAACTTTCTCTTTCTCCTAATCTCTAGATTCCTCTTCTGAATTCCCACTCCCATCCCTACTGCTCACGCCACAGTGGGTGGCCGGCATAGCCTAAAGGTACTGACGTAATCTCGCAATTACTTTGATGCTTCTACTTGCATTGAAAACCCCGTGCAGATTTTATATTCTACCACCATCTGTGATATCTGTGTTTGTCTCATGCAAACAATGCCTTACGTCATTATTGAATAACATCTGTGTTTGTCTCATACAATGCCTTTAACCACTTTCCAGCTAATTTAACACCCTCCTTCCCATCTCTAAGGAAAAGGGATGTGCCAGGAAGACATGTCGAGTTTACCTCATGGTTCCATCTTCCCTCCACACAACCTCAGACCTTCCTAAGGAACAGAAGGCCCAGTTTGAGAAGAAGCAAGTAGTCAAACAACATCTGACTGTTGGCATTCAAAAGCTTGACGTTTGTGTGTTTGACCCTTCTCAAAAGACCCTGAAGATACACGATACATAGAATTCTTGAATTCTGCTGGAGCCTGAATTAGACTAATAAGCATGAGTGTCTAGGGCAGTGGTTGTGAAGCAAGTCCCTTTGACAGGCAGAGGGGCCTGGCCTTCAGCCCAGCACACACATCTGAACTTGGCTTTCTTGTTCTCTAGTTGTCAAGGCTCTCAGTTGTTGGGAAAAGAAACTCAAGAAGGTCAAAGGCCTACCGTATATCCTTCCAGCTTTGTCTCCAGGCCCATCATAGAATAAATAACCTCTAAGCCAAGCCATTTGGCTTGTACCGCAATACCATCATTGGGTTCATGTCACTTCCCTATTCAAAGCCTGCAGTGACTTCCCAATCACACTGAGAATAAAATCCACACTCTCTACCATGGCCTACAAGGCCCTATGGGACCTGGCCCCTGCTTACCTCTCTGACTTCATTCCTTGGCATTCCCCCCTTATGATCGCCAGACTTTATCCACCCTGGCCTCCTCGGTGTCCTCAGAATAAGCCACAATGCTCCCCCATGCCTGGCTTGGCACTGCTCTCCTCTCTGCCCGTAGTTTTCCTCCCTGACACCAGTTGGGGCTCTCTCTCAAACGCCCCTCCCTCCCCGGCCACCTTCCCAGACGAAAGCTTCCCAAGCACTAGGAAGAGGTTTGCTCTTTGCTTTGTTTTTATAGCACTCATCACTCTCTGACTTCATATGAGGATTTGACTATTTCTCTGTTTCCTGCCAGCCTCCCTGCCTAGCAAGTAAGCGCCCTGGAGATAGGAAGCTTGTCTCTGCTGTGGAGATGTTCAGTGAGCATCTGTTACATGAATGGAAGCTCCATGACTCCCCACTGAAGCCAAGACTGAAAGTGCCGTCAGCCACGCTGACAGAGGCTCACGAGCCAAAAGCCACCCCAAATGCAAAAACCATCTACTTGGAACCAACCTGAGGCATTGAAGCAGTACGTGTCATACTGAGAGGTGTTGGATGTGAGGATGTACACCCCTGTGTTGTTTGCAGCACAGATGGAGTTGGGGTGGATACGGGGGATCACCACATGCCCTTCTATGAACCCGTACCTGCAGAAGAAAAGCGAGAGGTTATCCACCTGCAGGGCTGTGATGGGGATTTTGTAACATGCCGTCAAATGACATCTCACACAGTGCATCATTCACTTCATTCACTTCACCTCTGAGGATCTTAGAGGTTTCAACAAGTGGGTTATGTGAAATCCAGAAACAGCAACCGAGAGAGAAGGAAGGGGACCAATAAGGCTGAGGGAGACAAGGTGATTTTATTTAGAGCTCTTATAAAGAGCTTTAGAAGAAAAAAAAGACTCATGAAAGAAAAAACTGGCTTTTTTTTTTTTTTTAAAAAAAGTTTTATTTACTTAAGTAATCTCTACACCCAACGTGGGGCTCGAACTCACAACCCCAAGATCAGGAGTCGCACGCCCTACTGACTGAGCCAGCCAGGCGCTCCAAAAAGAAAAAAAACTGGCTTCCCAAATAAAATATGTGGGCAGCAGTGTCAAGTCAGTTTGAACACATGGAGGGAAGTCTGAATCACTTAAGAGGGAAGAACAACCACTTTATGAGGTGAGATCCACTCTGGCTCTCCATCACCTTCATATTTTCCAGAAAATACATGAGATGACCAGCTCCCAGAAGACAGGGCTAGGTGGCTCTTCGTTTCAGTCCACCCAGGTCAGACCCGCCTATTTCCCATCCCCTACTCTTCCTTCTTTGCCTCACGTTTTCCTGTGATTCCCTCGCTCCAGGCTCCACTACTGTAAACACAAAGCCTTGTTTGTTTATATGCTAGAAACACAGTACATTTTCTTCATGAACATCCCAGGCATAATTTCCACTGCCAGTGGAAGTAAACTGACTGTCATTAAAATGGGAGTAATAGCGATTAAGTAAGTAGATAGTGGTGCCTCATTTAGCTCAGGAATTTTCCAGAGGCAGTTCAGTCAGAGAAGTGCGTAAGCCCCCTCTGTCCCTCACCAAGATGTTTCTGGGAGCATGATGGAGCCGGAGGCCCCTTCAGATACAACAGACAGCACCCAGCCTCTTCAATCCGCATCACGGACACTAAGTGCTCACTCACTGCACAATCTTTCCCGAATATAAATGCCTCCAAAAATTAGAAGTGGGCGGAGAAAGGGTTGGTGGCAGGGGCAGGGCAGAGAGGACGAAGCTAAATCCAGCAAGTTTCTGAAAATGCAATGCTGGCTAAAATGCACAGCGGAGAACCTTTTCAATCTTTGCTGCCAGAGTCAACAGTATATAGTGTATCAACCTGCAAGACCCACGGAAATGGCTGTAAGTTTGAAATTTCTAAGCACACAGAACTCGTTAGGTCTATGCTGCAACCATAGCTCGCAGGACTAATTCCTCATCTGAAAGGACAGACTGGTTTCTCCAAAGACTCCATAGCTTGGTGGGGAGAAAGAGGGCAATTAAATGTTAATAAGTTTCCATCTATCTGGGAAATGCTACTAATCAGGGTGGGCAGACAGAAGAGAGTGGCTGCCAAGGTTTTATCCGCGCCTATGAGCCTCTGCCACCTGTCCCATGGCAGAGATCTGATTCACAAGCGCCTGAGTGAAATTATGGAAATGTGTTTTGCAACACTTAATACCCACTATGGGTGGAAGGATAGGTTTCTTTCGCACCGTTTTTCTTTCTTTCTTTCTTTCTTTCTTTTTTTTTTAAATGACAACACTCCTTGGTGAGCCTACTCCCCACCCCGCCTCCATCACATTCGGGAGATCTGTGTCACACTGACATTCTAGAATCTGCATTCCCTGTGTAAGTTATGCCTGAGCTGTTGCTACAACAAGCCGACTGCCCTTTGTATGTGTCCCACCATACATGAGTTGGGATATTAAAATTTATGTGTGTATATACTGCCCCAGCAGGTTGCTGTTCACAGGGTGGAAAGAAATGCTCAGCAAATCTATGAGCCATGCTTCTGTCTCCCCCTCGCTCTCAGTCCTTCTGGACAGTCATGAAATTCTTACCCTGGGCTCAGACAGAGCAGGACTGGCATCTAGACTCCTCCCCATGCAAGCGATGTGGCCCTGGGCGAGTGTGGCACTTCTGCAAGCCTCAGTTGCTTCATCCATAAAGTGGAGGAATATGATCAACCCCGGGTGCAGTCTGAGGATCAAGGGGATGTGGGCGAGTGGGCAGCAGGGTGCGCCCCACCTCTAAGTGTGCGAAGGTTAGCCAGTGGGAGTTGAAAGAACTCCCCTCGCTTTCAGCAGATGGGAACATTTCTGTGTTTCCTAAGTCGGTCTCATCTGTATTTCACAATCCAAATTCAGTCTAGTAAGTCTACTTTCTTAGGCTACTGGCCGAGTCAGGGCCGTATTTAAACAATTAGCCTTGGGAACGGGATACATGGATCTGCTCATCAGCCTGCCTTCGGCGCAGCCTTCTTCCTCTGCTCCTCTTGGGTTCTCCCAGACCTAGCTCTGAACACACACAGACGTCTGTGCACATCTGCCCTTTCTTTCAGAGCAGTACTGCTGAGTAGAACGTTCTGCAATAATGAAAATGTTCTATCTAGAATATACATCCTCCAATCTGGCAGCCGCTCGCCATCTGGAGCTCGCCGAGCACGGGAATGTCAACAGTGCCACGAAGAACCAAAGTGGAATTTTCTTTCATTGTAATTCGGTGTAAACTGCCACATGGGGCTAGTGGCTACCTTCTCAGTGCAGTGTCGGAGTAAAGATTCTTCTTTTCCTTTTCAGCCGAAGAGCCTCCGCTGCCATTCCTAATGTAGGGTGCATGCCTCTGCAACCAAGGGCCGGGATGGGTGTGTTGAACTTACGTTTCATGGTTTGGATAAAGGCTCCTGCAGCTTGACTTTTAAAAATGCAGCTTGTTCGCACGTGTGCATGTATCTTTAAGAGGGAGGGGAACCACGTTATCTCATGTTGCAAAAACAGGGGGGAAGCTGCTGGCCGGCTGGAAACTTCAGAGCAGTTGCTCAGATTACCCGGAGCTCTTCTAGTGAAAACAAACCAAACCAAACCAAACCACCCCACCGTGGCTGTCACCACTGTTAGCTCTTCATGAGCACCACTCACCACAGGCTCATCAGAGATTCAAACACACGGGGCCGCTGCCTGCTGTGAGCGCCCTGAGCAGAATGGCGTGAGCAGGGGTCCAGGGAGCACCGTGATGTCCTGCACAAAGTCTCTCAGGAGGTCTCCTGGGTCCCTTGGACCACTTCCCCTCATTGTAATAATACATCTTAATAATTTTCACGTCCTTTTATTTCTAGGCTCAAACCAGAGGAACACAGAAGAGAAACCAACACATGAGAGACAGATAGAGGGAGTTGTTTGAAAACGTTGCTTTGAGCCAAGTCTGCAGAGCCAAGACTCCACCAGGCACATATTTATTTTAAACACTGTTATTTGGTTTACGTTTTCTTGTGGTTCCGACAATGATATTGCATGCTGCTTCAAAGCCGGGAGAGCGCTGTGGAAGCACTTCAGGCAAGAGGATTCCGACCGTTGACCCTTAATGGCCTCCTCTGGGCAACCCCACTATGATTCACAAAGGTGTCTTTAGCCGCCTTTAAATTCCACTTGTCGTACAGGTTCCAGGTTGACTTGGCCAAATTAATAGGTGGGACCGGCCCTTCAGGCAACCATCCATCAGCTGTCAGGGAGGAGCCTATGAGCTCTAAGCCCCGCCCCCTAGGCCCCGCCCCCGACTTTCCTTCTCTTACCTGCAGGTCTCAAACCCGATACTCAGGGCTTTCTCCATCTGGGCCATGGTGGGCAAAGTGCTGTTGAAAGCCTTGCAGAGGTCAGCGGCCTCTGTCCTGGAGATGCTGTAGCGACCATTTTTCTCCACGTGGAACACACCTCCGTATCGGCAGGTTATATTCAAATCTGTGGGATGAAACAGAAATGGTAGATGCTTTTGCATAACTTATTGGGAAGGGTAAGAAGTCTGTTTGAGGGTAGATTCATTAAAAACAAAACAAAACAAAACTTCTCCACTGGCCAGAGCCTTCAACATTCAGTCCAGCATTCCAAAGCACCACACATTAAGCTCAGCTCAGAGCTAAGACACAGTAAAGGAGCATAACTCTAGTATTGTCTCCATCGATCGCTCTACAAACAAGCTTTTTTTTTTTTTTTTAAGATTTTATTTATTTATTTGACAGAGAGAGTGAGAGAGAGCACAAGCAGGGGGAGCTGCAGCCAGAGGGAGAGGGAGAAGCAGGCTTCCCGCTGAGCAGGGAGCCCGATATGGGACTCCATCCCAGGACCCCAGGATCATGACCTGAGCCAAAGGCAGACGCTTAACCGACTGAGCCGCCCAGGCACCCTTACAAATGAGTTTTTAAAAAGCATATGACCTATTTCTGGCTATTAAAGTAATACAACTTGTAGAAAACCGACAAAATTCAGGGAAATAACGAAGGAAAAGCTAGGTCACCACTACTGCCAACGCTTTAAACATTTTGTATCTTCTTCCAATTTTCTGAATCTGTGTGTGTGTGTATACTTATGTACTTACATAGTTAAAGCAGGACTAAATATACAGTTTTAGATTTGGGCGTCCTTTTTTCCCACTTAATCTTATACCATGAGCATTTTCCCACAATCAAGTGGTGTTACCTGTAACCTCTAATGGCTTCTGGCTGCACCCGGAATAAATGTCCTCTTAATGGCTGACAAGACCTACAGGAGGAGCTGGCTTCTGTCTCCCTCTTGAAATTTTAGCAGCTCACTCTGCTCCAGGCATAAAACTTGCCTTCAGTTCCTTTGGCTATTCTGAGTTCTTGGCCACCTTAGAACACATATCTGCCGTGCCCTCTGTCTGGAATGTTCTGTTTTCAGATCATCACATTTTGTGTTTTGGCTGCACGTCACCCCCTCTTAGAGGCCTTTCCTGAGCACTGTTTTCCAACCCACATGTCTCCCTCGCTCACCCTGCTTTGGTGTCTCCACAGCAACTTGTTTATTTATTTGTGCATTTAATTATTATCCATCCGCCCTTCCTGTGATAGAAGCTCCAAGAAAAGCAAGGACCTTTTACCTGTGTATTGTGTTTCTCTAATTCTCACAAGAGTGTGACAGAGAGTAGATGCTCAACCAGTATTTACTGAATGAATAAATGGCTCCTTAAAATTTCTTACAAAGCACACCTTCAACATATTGACAGATAGAGCCAAGACCAGTTGTTGGCTCCCAAGAGTTAATGGCATTCAAAATGAAGCCTAATGGCTATCAACCGGTTAAAGGATGATTTAATCCAAGGGCTCCTGTGAATTTTGCAGACATTAATCTAAAATCTCAATAAGGAGCTGAAGAATTATCCACCCGATCCTGTGAAACCATTTCACAAGGCTTCTAAACCTTTAACAGAAAACTCCTTATTTTTCGGGACTGTATTATCATCCCCAGTTCGCACTCAGCGAACGCCAGCATGGAAAGGTGTGACGTCATTGAAACCATCCCGTTTGAGTGTGATTCCTCCTGAGCATGTCCTAGAGCCTCAAGCACAGTCCTTGGCCAAGGAAAAGGCTCACTGACATTTCCTCTGGGCCTACCACAGGGTGGCCTGCGTGCCAGGCCAGGCGCCATGTTGTTAGTTAGAAGCCAGCTCTGGATTCAGACAGAACTGACTTTAACTCAGACTCCATCCCTCCCTTGGGCAGGTCCAGGGGGAGTCAGAAGATCCTGCTTATGTATCAGTGAGAAAACTGAGGCTCAGAGAAATGAGTTGCCCCAGGAAGTCAGCACTTCTATGTAGAGCCTGTAGTTGACTTCCTGACTCTCAGTTGCTTTGTTCTTCAGCTCTGAGCTGAGAGCCAGAGGAGGGGAGGCCTGTTACTGCAGTTTCCCTGGGTCCCCAGCACCTCTGGCGTTCTGTGTTACATCATCTTCCACGAACGCTGACAGGTGAGTTGTATGCAAGTGTGTATGTATTATTTATAGGTAAAGAAACTGAAGCTCAGAAAAATTAAGCAACTTCCCCAAGTCAGCCAGTGGCAGAGCTGGAACCCCCATCTCGGGTCCGGGTAGCACCAAAACCCACCCTCCAAACCACTTTACTGTGTACCTAGGATCCTTCCATGTCATTAGTGCGAGCGTCACCTCTAAAGGGGAGAGGTGCTCCTAGACAACGGCCACATAAGGACGAAGGCAGGGTCGGTATTGCTGAGCTCGATGGACAACAACTGCTTTCTCCCTTCGGAGCAGGAAGCAGGTTCTAACCACCAGGAAACGGTGTCTGATGATTTGCAAAATAAGATGATGAGAGAACGGTGAAACTTCCGCATGATCTTCCTTGACTCTGAAAACACTAAAGCAGCAGCAAGAAATGGAGCTTCGAGAAGACAGAAGCCCACATCGGTTGCTTCTCTCTTTTTGTATCATTAGCACGTAGGTGCTTTTTGAACGCATCAGAACTGCGTGGCCTGGAGAGCACATGTGATTCATTCCTTTGGGGGCCTTCGGGTGTCCTTCTTCAGCCGCTCACACAAGTCTTGGCTGATGAGGCAGGAGGACAGCGAGGAGGGAAATGCACAAGGCCCTTTGGAAATATTGTTCGTTGTCACTGACATTTTCAGCTTTGGCCTCTGTCAGCCGGTCTTCACGCGGGGAAAGCTGTCAGGCGGCGGGGACAGCCCTTCCGGCGGCTTTCCTCCCCAGGCCTACAAAAGGAAAACACAGCCTCGCAATCAGCTTCTCGGAGGGGAGGCTGCTCGGGGGAGGCGGCAGCAGACGCCGGGAGAGGGGCCAACGGCCTGTCACTGCGTGGCCAGAGGGCCGCTGTCCCTCCCGGGTTTAAAAATAAAGCCTGAGGCCCAGACGGTGGTTTGGAGCTGAACAGCAGTTTCTGTCGTATGAAAATTCATTCTCGTTTACCACCTGGCCCCCAGCACATGCAGATGCAAAAGGAACCGAGACTTTTGTATAAAATGCCCTGAGTTCCACAGCTGCAGGCCGCGGGACTTCGGAGACCAAAGGCGCACGCGCAGTGTGAGGGGCCCCCGCCGCGTGCGCGCCCGCAGCGAGCGCGGCCGTGTGCGCGCCTGCCGGCAGCCTCGAGCGCCAGGGCCCGGCGAGCTCGACCTTCGGCCTCCCCCGCACCGGGACGCTGGCCCGGGGGCTGCCGAGCGGGTGGGCGGCTCTACGCAGAGGCGAAGCTCCACGGCTTCCGTCTGTCTTCATCCAGCGAACAAGGTCCAGCTCCTAACCCGGATGGAACTTGGCCACCCGGGCATTGCAAAGATGGTGCCCGGAACTTCGTTTCAGGTCAGCTATCCGCACGAGCCTTCTTAGTTCCTCCTCTCTGGCTCCCTCTTGCCTTCACAGGGACCAAGCCTTCAGGGCTGTGTAGCCTTTAATACTTTATGAAGACTTTCCAACAGGCTTCCTTCACGCTGATGCAAACCCCAATTATGACTCCAAAGGATACTAATAATAACCAGCAGCAATAATAGTAGCAAATACAGACTGTGCATACATATATATATATATATGCCAGACACCCCTCTAAACACTTCACAAGTACTCATTTTATCCTTAAAACAGCCCTATGAGGTAGGTGATATTATTATTCCCACTTTCCAGATACAGAAACCGAGGTACAGAGAAGGGAAGAAACATGCCCAGGTTCACAGAGCTGGTAATGATGAAGCCAGGATTCAAATCCATCCAGTCTGACGCCATGCGTCCGTCAGACTTACCCACTGGGCTACTACGGCCAACCCTGATTGAAGTAACTTTTTATGACCTCCCAACCTCCCCAGTGCACAGCTTCTCGAGAATATTCCCAAGGTTCAGGGAAAGTTAGAGCAAGGTCGAGGCGTGAGTAGCCAAGGACCACAGATGACTGGACAGGGCACCAGCATCACTGGCCGTGGCATTTGCCACACCATGAACTCCTTCCAGAGAAGCAGGACTTCCCACATGTGTGTGCCTCTCTCCTGAGAAAGAGGCTTCTGTGATTCGGGATCTGTGGTGACTCAAGAGGCTAATACTGAATGGCCAGTTGCATCTCTCAAACAAGCGTTTCCAACTGAAAGTAAGTCAAGAATGTTTTCCGTTGAGCCCTCTGGTCTCCAATAAATCTCCTGCGTCATGTAACAAGGAAACTGTCCCAAGTCCCTCCCTCTGAGAGACCCAACAGGCAACATTAACTGTTCAAGGCCACTTTCACACTCAGGGAGTAGTCTCTCTGGGGGGAGAAATGCCACCTGAGCCTTTGGAGTGCTCGTGACTATAGGAGGGACAGTGGGATCATGGGGTTCAGCGCCCAGGGGTCTCGTCACCCGCAGGGGAAGAGGTCTGCCAGTGAACCTGTCAGGAAGTCTAGAAAAAGGTGCTCTCCGAGAGTGCCCTTCTTGTCTAACCATACTCCCTGGCACCAGACTCACATGCAGGTTGATAGCTCAGCGTATTGAGAACCCTCCCACAGCTGAGTTCGAATCCTGACATGGCCACTCACTTGCCCACTCGTTCCAGTTTACACAGCTAGTTAGTTCCTTGCCCTCTCTGACACTCAGTCTTCTCCATGGGATGACGATACCAACCGGTCAGAGTTTGATAGGTGTTTGGCACTTAATTAGAGTCCATAGTGTTGCATACCTATTAGGCGGCCTATATACGTCAGTTAATTTAATTCCTACAAAAAATGTTACGAAGGAGGCACTATTGCCAAACCCATTTTAGAGACAAGGGAACAGAGGCACATATAGGTTCAATAACTTGCCCCCAGTCATCCAGGTGGGAGAGGCGGGGATCTAACCTCTGTGCTGGGCTGCCAATTAACTATGCAGGGTTCTGGGGTAAATTCATTCTTACTTGGATAAATCCTAGCTGACCCATATAACACCGTTAATCTTACCTATATTTTCCACTAAGCCACAGATCAAGGAAAGTAGGTCTCTCTAGTAAGATCCGCCCAGCACATTTCAGAACCTTGCCAAGCGAGATTGCAAGGCCGGAGAGGAATGGTTTGCCCCAGTCACTCCCCCCAAGGGGAAGAAAATCACACCATCTGCTGAGAATAGAGCACTGTGTAATTTTTCCCTAACTCGCCATTATCCACGTGTCTGCAAACTTTCCGGAGAGGTGAGTGGGGGCGGGGTGGTCACACAGCTGACTAGCGATGGAGCTGAGTGACAAGAGGTTTTTCACCCCGAATCCACCAGTTGGTCTTCAGGGAGGGTCCATAAGCCTGTGACGTTGTGTGTAAGCCTATGTGTGTATGTGTATGTGTGTGGAGGGGTTTGGTTGGGACAGCTTCCCGGGTTTCAGTGGTTTCTCAAAGAAGTCTGTGACATGAACAGGTAAAGACTTACAAGGAATTATTATCACCAGGGTCTCTTCAGTAATGAGAGATTCCAGGATTCTGGAATTTCGGAACTTCCTTGTGGCCTTCTGACAACAGGGGCTGTATGTCTCCCTCCCCGCTGTGTCCCCAGTACTCAGCACAGTACTGTCCAGAGTAGGCACAGGTTGAACAAATGAATGACTAAATGAATGAATGAATGAGTGGCTACTCTAGCCCACCCCCCAAAACTCAGGACAAGCAGACCTGTGAGGTGCAAAGAGAACACCTCTCAGGTCCGTTCCCCACATGACAGATAAAGAATCACCAGCTGGGCCTTGTTGAGAATTCCCTGTCGGACGCTTAAAATGTCTTTCACCAGAAGCATCTGCTTCTGAGAACCTTTGCTGTTTTCCCTGGAAGCGAATGTCTCAGAGACCACTTTCAGTGTTGGAAGTGGCTTTGTTGGTCTGAATTCTGGCTGTCATCTCTGCAATGGGCATCCTGTCATAGGACCATTTCTCAGCTCAGGTCTCCTGAGAGAGGATGATAGCCATGCTGCGTACCAGGTGGAGGCCAGCAGATGACGTATAGTCATCCTGTGCCCAGAGCCTCTCGGTTTTCCAAACCAGACTTCTCCAGATGGTCCCAAATGAATTCATTGCTTCTCCATCACGAGTCGCCCAGATGTGCCTGGTTCATATTTGTCATCTCCCCAAGAGGGATCAGGCAGAATAGGATTTTTTTTTTTCCCCTGCTGATTTGGTCCCAGAGTTGGCTATGTGTCTGGGGGAAGTTGCTTTTTCTTGAAGTTGGGAATAGGGCCAGCTCCTGGGACCCAGGGCCTGGTACAGTTCCCACGGCCATGAAGACAACTGCCGGGACTCACCCAGTGATGACACGGGGCCATGCGAGCTTTTCAGTATCTGCACCTCAGAATTCATTTCATTCTTGCCACCATGCCACCATGTGGCCGGCACCTTCATTATTCCCCTTTTAGGCAGGAGGTAAGTGATTCACGGAGAAGACAGGAGAGACTGGAACTCATAAGCAGGAGCTGGGTTTCAGACTGGGCGGTCTAGCTGATCACACTGTGTGTGGGGAAGATGCTAGAACTATAGGAGGTCACTTATCCTCCATGGGGTTTCTTAAGTGCAGAGGAGTGAGCTCTACAAGAGAGCTCTGGAAAGAGGAATTTGAGCTTCCTGAATATTATTTTAAGATCAGAGGTCCCTTGTTCTGGGCCATAAAACTCAAGAGGGCAGGGCCTTTGCTCCCCACCCCAGCCCCCGCATGGAACGTCCACCCTCTCCCTGGGGAGAAGATTTGGAGGTCCCCGTGTTCACTGGCTTGCCCCAACAGTGGGCTGCCTACCTCTTTCTGATTCTACCTGTGCTGGTCTCATGATCCCCTTGGGACCTGAGAATCCAACGCGAGCTACAGCCTCAGGCTTCCCTTGCCCTTTATAGCCTCTGGCCCATCAAGAAGGGCAAATGAAGAGAGGATCTTGGGACTCAGCGTTGGCCCAGGGCTGGGACACCAGACCGCAGGCTGTCCTTGTGACATTTTGAGATGTTTTCTGCCCAGCCCGGAAATCTCAACAGACCAAGCTAAAATGCCAAGCCAATCAAGCTGGAGTATGGCCCTCCAGGCTAACTTCATCCAACCCCATTGGAGGTGGCAGGCAAGCTTCTCAGGCAGTGGCAGCTGGAAGCACTAGTGGGTTCCCCACATTTTTCATTTTCATAGTGTTTATCTTGAAGTAGCCAGGATTCTGTTTCTGTCTTCTGATTTGCTGAGCTCATGTCTAAAAAAAGATTACATAACTCACAAACCTAACTGAACTGATTCTGATTAGAAGCAGGGAAAGAAAAGGCGTTTTTTTTTTTTTTTCCCCAAGCATGATGGCTAATTGGATCATCTATGTTTAAAGCCAGGTGGGGCAACGGACAGTTTCTAACCAAATTCTCTTGAGACAAAGAGAACACAATATCCAGAATGACTGAGCATGGTCCCCCAGCCTGTTGTGAGAAAAGCAGGGCCTCAGGGGTCCATAACTGCTAGATTCCTGACTCCTCGTCCAGTGCTCTTACTCCTGAACTGCTTTTATAAGAGGCCCAAGCAAGCTGTTCCCAATAAAGCCACAATCCACTGTCTTAACGGGCCCCGAAGAAACAATTCTATTCTTCATTTCTTTGATTGATGTTTTCAAAGCCCCCAAGTTCCCATCCGAGAGTCTTCCCTGCTCTTAGAGCCCCTGCTGCCACCCAGGCCTGCTAGGCCAGAAGGCTGGCAGCCTTCCTGCTGCCCCCACGTCACTCGCCCCCATCCCCTGACATCCATGTGATGGGCGCCTGGTGAAAGGATCTATTGTTCAGCATCCACTTCTGAATGAGGCCAAAATCACACTCAGTGGCCGAATCGCCTTTGGCTGCCCAGTGCAGACCATGAGTCTTGGGTGACTCAGTCTCTCCCGGAATTGCCCCCGGAGGTGGGTCAGGGTGTAATGAGCAGAGAAAATAGTCATACACTATCATACCCAGAGAATTTCCTCCAGACTCTGTCCTGGGTTGCTTTCAACTAAGCTATTCATCTCTTGGCACTTAGAAAGGAAATGCACCCCAACTTCTTAGCGCCTGGCTGTACGCCCTTACCTTTCAGCCTCTTGTCCGTGACCATAGAGCCTGTCATGGCCGCCAACACCAAACCAACAAGGGCCCATTCCATCTGCTCTCTCAGAGGAGAGTCCAAAGGGATTTCTCAGTCACTATCCTGGCCCTTCCATCGAGGCCTCCACAGGACTGACCCAGTGGAGCTCTTGGGTTGTTTTCACAGTCTGAAGAAGACCCCAGCCCTGCCTCCTCGTAAGATGATGGGAACAAGGGGAGGGGACATTGTGGAGAAAGCCTGTCTACATTCCCACCCCAATCCTGGAGCCAACAGAATCTTTTCAGCAAAGGAGAGTGTGTGTCCCAGCACTGTCATCTCAGTACACAACTCTGTAAGGTCAAGTGGTTTTTGGTGAGCGAGTCTCCAGGAAGAGAGAGGGAGAGAAACCAGTGTGTACACCTGTGTGTTGCCATGACGATCAGGAAACACTCAGGTCTGGCCTTGAAACCTTTGTTTTCTTCTTTTTCTGATCATTATCAGTTTTAGCACTAACTAAACACTAACAAAACACTAACTTTGTGTTTTGACTAACACAAAGCCAGGATGTGGTAAAATGAAATGAGAAAGCATCACCGGGGCCCACATGGGGTTTTTCCTGTTGCAAGGAGGGGCAAAAAGGGGTCCCACTCTGGTAACTAGATTTGCTCTTCCTGGTGTAGTTAACAATTCCGGCTACATCACCTCATTTCTTGTTCAGCTTTTGCTCGGGTCTGCTGCCTGTACTTTGAGGAACTCACTTTATTGAGTCTGAGGGAAGCACTTCATGAACTCCAAGGTGGACTGAGGTTGTCACACACAGCTGGGAGCTGCATTTCACGGGGTTAGTGGGCCACTGACACACTGCTGAGCCCGGGGCCCCCACCTGGGAGGAGGAATGGGTTCTAGCCTAAATCCTGTTAATTATAAGCTGCATGACTTTGAGTAACTCACGCTAGCTCCCAGGTTCACACCTCGCCTTCCTACCTCCCAGGACGAAATAAGGACTTAGGGAACACTTGGCGCTTGTGGGATAAAAGGGGGAGGAGTGATATGCACACCAGGGATGTTATTAAAATCTCAGATAGCTTCTCAAAAATCCAGTATCAGTTTAAGACACATTTGGGGTCCAAGCCCTGGGAAAGAGGCAGATGGAAGTGTAAGCCAGCCTCAGTGATCTTGCCACGTGGGTGGCTTCCTTCTCCAATTCCACATCCCAAAGCAGCTCTGTGAGGGCCAGCAGGTAGATACCACGGATCCATTTTACAGATGAAGAAACTAAGGAACAAGAGATCCAGAGACTCAAAGTTCTACAGAATTTGAATAACACCCAGACCTCAACTCAGATTGTCAAGCTCTTCTGGTTTCCCCCCATTCTCTGCAGTACTGACTTCCATCTTGTATTGTCAACAAGCAAAGGAGAAAGGTGCATGCTCAGAGAAGAGCGATCGTTTTCAGATCGCCCCCTCCCCCACCACGATGTCTTAGGCAGAGCCATAGTATTTAAGATGGGTAAAAGCAGAGCTGTTCCGGGGGGGAGGGGAGCGGGAGTGAAGGCGGAGGGTCAGACCCCAGACCCTGGATCCACCAGCTGCTCATTCTTGCCCAGCCCCCACGCCATCCCATCAATGGCCCTGACGCCCTCCACAAAGCTCTAGGAGACTCACTCTGGAATGCTCTGGAAACTACGGCAGTACAGGCCAGTCGTAGCAATGATAACCACTCAGCAAGGCCTGCAATGTGCCAGGGGTTCCAAAGCATTTGGAGCCCTAAGAGGGTTAGTCACTCCTCGTGACAGCTATGGAAACAGAGAGTTGGAGCATTAAGTAATTAGCCCAGGCTCACAGCTCAAAGGCTGCAGTCCAAGTGAAACACAATTGTGTAAAACTGCTTTATAAGTGATACGGGCTTAGTATGACTATTTTTGTTTTCTTCCCCTCTCAGTCTCAAGAATAAATTTACCTCTCAATGTGAAGTTCCATGAAGGCTGTCCCAAGCCCCCTGTAGAGAGGAGACAGCACAGTATGAATTTCCAGTCCTATTCTCCAGGGATGGAATTGGTCAACAGTGTGCTCGACAAGATTTATAGAGTCAGACACGAAGGTGAAGCTGTTGTGCTTCAAGATAGAGCCATCCAGATGGAGGGGAACAAGACTGCCACCACTCCCTTGTCAGGCAGTGTGGTCTGGCATTTCTATAAACTTATGGATGCATTTTACCACACAGCCCAGTGCCTCTCCAACTTTGATTTTATTTCCTCTGGCCTACCTCTTTGAGCATCTTCACAAGTGATAAAGGAAAGGTTCTGGAGTTTATAGAGCTGCAAGTCTGAGTCAGACCTTAGTCCAGGAGCCGTAAGAGATTTTACACATGTGATCCCCAGAGCACCTTCGAGAGGTCAAGTTATCACCCCCATTTTGCTGACGAAATAAGTGAGATTCGGAGCACAACTGACCCAACATCCCACCGTGGAAGTGGCAGGGGCAGGAGTCAAGCCCGGGGATGACACCTGGTCTCTGACATGAGTCACTCTTCTTGGGACACAAAGACGGTCACACTGGGGGGAGCCTGAAATGCAAGCGTGCTGTAGGGTGTGGTTGGGACACAAGTCCCTACAAATCCTCCTGCTGAGCCTCTGGCTGGCCTCCCCAGTAACATTAACGCTAAGTTAGCACCTACTGCGGGCTGGGATCTGTGCAGGGGCTTCACACTGATTGTCTCATTGAATCCCCACAATAAAGGTATGGGATGCATGGTATTATTAGCATCGAACCATACTGCAGATAAGAAAACTGAGTTTTAGAGGGGTTAAGAAACCCATCCCACGTTTGTACGGGTGGTGGATCCGGCAGCCTGGCCCCTTGTCTCTTAGCCGCCACACTGATTAACTTGAGGAAGTTCCAGGCCAACTTCCGGATAACACCTCTTGCCAGAGAGTTTGCATGCCACTGGGCTAATATTTGCTAGTGTCATGCAGATAGACCTGGTGGATGGGGGCTCTTACTACTGTCTCCTCCAAAGGGGGTAACTCATGGACCCAATGAGCTGGGGAAAATTTCACAGAAAAATCGATCCTGCCCTGGGACTTAGGAAGCCTGTGCACCAGACAGAGATGACCACGCCAGGACCACAGGCAGAGGACAGGCTTGATGAACGGACTCGATTTCCGCCTGGCTGCAATAGTAGGTCACGAGCTCTGCTCTTCCCATGACAGTTCACATACCCCTTAGTTTGATGGGCTTTAACCTAACCATTTTAACAACTCTGTCTCCCTCTTCTCTCTCGCTGGCTCTGTCTCCGTCTCAAGATGCTAAAACGAGAAGGTGTGTGCATGTTTGTGTGCATGCGCGTGCACACACAGGAGGCAGGCTCTCCTTCCCAGTCCAAGAACCCTACTCCTGTTTATTCTTCAGATGCTTTTAAGAGTAACACAAATGTTTCAAAGCAGAAGCCTTATGGGGGGAGAGGCTGGATTGTGGGGATATTTTTTAAAAATCTGGGCCAAACAGATTTCCAGGATCGGTACAGTTGCAATTGCTCCGTGAGCTAATAGCTTGTAATTCACACCTCTTCCTAGGCTTTCAATCTGTGAAATCTCATCTGTAACAACAGATGCCAGTCTTGAACGCCAGGCTCCAGAGAACTTATTTCTGACAAGCTTTTATTTTATTTATTTATTTTTTTAAAGATTTTATTTATTTATTTGAGACAGAGAGAATGAGAGAGAGAGCACATGAGAGGGGAGAGGGTCAGAGGGAGAAGCAGGCTCCCTGCCGAGCAGAGAGCCCGATGCGGGACTCGATCCAGGGACTCCAGGATCATGACCTGAGCCGAAGGCAGTCGCTTAACCAACTGAGCCACCCAGGCGCCCTCTGACAAGCTTTTAAATCTGACTCAAGCCACGGGGTTTGGACCAAAATCTTCACCATTTCATGTTCAGCTGTGGTGGGCCAAAGACAACTTCCTGCTTTTAAGGAACAGGCCCCATACACAGATCCAGGAGCCTTGAAAGTGGAGGGAGTAACAAATGACCCTTCTGTGAAGTTACCAAAGGAAATAAGACTTGATTTTCTTTAAAATAAATGGCCATCAGACATGGCAAGAGACCATACCCGATGAAGGCCGAAGCTCCTTTCACGACGGGTATTTAAGAAGTGCTCTAGAAACATCAGGGTAAGGACAACTGAGCCTCTTCCTATGAGATCGCGGCCTCCCAAATCACTATTAGTATCCCCAGGGCATGGCGCAAGGTGTGAATTCAAAACACCTTCTAGAAAGTACAAGTGTTATGTACCAGATATGATCCCTGGGAGCTAGGGAGACATACAAGGTCCATGCCATCCAAAGAGCTTACCTTCTAATGTGGGGAGACAGACAGTATATAGGTAAATGGTTAATATATAGATAAGGCAATTTTGGGTACTAATAGTGCCTCATAAAAAATAAAAGGGGGTTCTTAAATAGAGCGTGACGGGGGCTGCTTTGTCAGGCAGTGTGGTCTGGCATTTCTATAAACTTATGGATGCATTTTACTCATTTTTTATGGGGCTTTGGGTGTGATCAGATACCCAGCCAAAGGAAATACTACTTCCCCCTACCCCCCACCAACACACACACAGATAAAATCGGATTTGGAATTCATCTTTGCCTTCTAGGGTCCATGAGAGATGTCCCTAGGATTTGGACTTAGTAAGGTGGACAAGAGAAGCTTGGAAGGCACAGTCTGTGTCAACTGAATGATCTGGTTTCTGAGATGAGAGTTCCATTGGGGTCCTAAGCTGGGGACAGAGCTGGTGGAAGTGGGGTGCACCTGTCTCTTCCAGCGCTTGGCCTCAACTTCAAGGCCAAACTTCAAGGCAAAGCAAACACAGTGACGGAACAGCCATCAGAGTGCAACAGTGATGGGTCTGCTCTCAAGCCCTCTGAAGCTTACGAGGACCTCCCAGCCACCCGGCTTCTCCGGCGTCCCTTATTTTATAGTTGCTGGTACCTAGCACTGGTGTGACTTACCCTGTGGTACTGGAGGATGGCATAGTGGGTGTGCT